GCACCTTTATTGGCCAATAAAGTTGTTGAATTGCGCCTCATACAATGACCAGAATATGCTTCTGGATTTGGGATGTATGTATGTATGTCGGAGGGATGGTGGAATTGTTTTCCACCACGGCACTTAGGCCTTATTAGGCCCTTTGTACACCCTCCTTCATTACTCGAGTACTTTTCTTGAAACCATCTTATTTTACTACACGGATGGCTTGGTGGCAAAGTCTCGTACAGTTTATGTATGATAGCATGGTCTTGAGTTACAGAGATTTCTTGCTCTGTTCTCATTACCATTTATCGGGGACCACACGCGTGCGGCAAATGTTGGGCGACCAAGGTCTCTTGGTAGGCTGCCACAGCCACGTTCCCGAGCCTGCCTTAGGTCACCCATCCAAATTCCAGCCCACGTCCGTGATGCTTGACTCGGCAGATCGAAATCCGTCGGCCAAGACACCCGGCTAGGCGGTCCCCTTGATACTTGAAAATTTCACCATAAAAAGAAGAGCTCTCAAGCTTTAAAATGGTTTTTGAAAAATTCAAATCGGACGATTAGGTGAGCCGTGGTGATTGTTTAAACATTTTCGCATTTTCACGCTTACAAACAATTGCAATAATTTAATATTTTTTTCAATTTTTTTTTTTATTTTAAAATATGGTTTGAAAATACTCGGAAAGACGAGTATTTTGAAAAAAAAATCTGATGATCCGCCCATTATTTTCGGAGTTATAGCCCGTTAAAGTTAACCCTTATTTACAGCAAAACTATAAGGGTATAAGGGCTGTTTTTTGAACTAATAGGTTTGTCATTCCGAGTACTTTCCAGATATAAATTTTCAAAATTTGCAATCACGGGCGTCCCATTTAAAATGTCACTCAAAGATATTCAAGACCGCGTGAAATCAATGAGGTATCAGTGGTGGGGGGAGCAAACACACAGCTACTCCGATCTGAATTCTCGAGTTCAAAACTGTGACGCTCGGAAAAATTTCACTTATTTCAGCTTCTAATGGACCAATTTCGAATATTTTTCTTAAATCGATGTCTCGCAACTTAAAAAATTCAATTATCATATTTTCAACTACCTTTTATTATTAATTATTGGACTTTTGACATGCCGATAAACAGTTACTTTAAAAAATGATTACCTAATTTATTATGTTTATTTATTTACTATGTTAATATTCACGACCAAAATTTGTACATGTTGCACCAGATAATACTAGTAAGTTTGTTTAAATAATAAAAAATTGTTTAAACAATAATTATTTAAACAAATAACTGAAAATTGGTATTAATTTTTAGTTGTACGATAAATTTCTAAAAATCTTTCAAAAAAAATAAATTGTGAATAATTATAATTTTAATTTTTTCGTTTACTTTTAAAATATTTATCTAAAATTTATTTTTTATTTACATAAAAAATTATAAGAATCTTTTGGATACTTGAATAAACAGTACACACTTTTCATGATTTTTCAAATTTTAAACTATTTATTTCAATTTTTATTTATATTTAATCTAATCTAATTCTTTTACTAGTTGGTGATTTTCACATGCCTCATCAGTATTATCATAATCTATTTCGTCGTCGATTTCCTCGTCCTGCAACTGCAAAATATCATTTTCTAACGACTCTGAAATCTGATTGCCGAGTTCACTTGCACTTTCTTCTGACATGTCTTCTTCAAAATCGATTTTGAACTCGTTTACTTTCACTGTTTTGTAAGCATTTTTACACATTTGCCCTTGGCAATGGGTGCAATACTCGGAGAATTTTTGAACTCGAGAATTCAGATTGGAGTAGCTGTTTGTTTGCCTCCCCCACCACTGATACCTCATTGATTTCAGGCGGTCTTGAATATTTTTGAGTGACATTTTAAATGGGACGCCCGTGATTGTAAATTTTGAAAATTTATATCTGAAAAGTACTCGGAAGGACAAACCTATTAGTTCAAAAAACAGCTCTTATACTCTTATAGTTTTGCTGTAAATAAGGGTTAAATTTAACGGGCTATAACTCCGAAAATAATGGGCGGATCATCAGGTTTTTTTTTTTAAATACTCGTCTTTCCCGGTATTTTCAAATCATATTTTAAAATAAAAAAAAATTTGAAAAAAACATTAAATTATTGCAATTGTTTATAAGCGTGAAAATTGCAAAAATGTTTAAACAATCACCACGGCTCACCTAATCGTCCGATTTAAATTTTTCAAGAACCATTTTAAAGCTTGAGAGCTCTTCTTTTTGTGGTGAAATTTTCAAATATTCGAAGGCTTTAGATTTTTAGAAATTTGATTTTGAAAATGTTTTAATTTAAGAAAAATAAAAAAAATTAAACAATTATTATGTAAAAACTATCGAACCGAATTGGATGAAATTTGGTTTGATGATTCTATGCACTAAAAAGTTTAATTGGGAAAAGTATGAAGATCCTAGGTATTATTCAAGTGTCTGAAAAAAATGGACAAATAAACTAGCATTTTTTGCAATTTTTTAAATGATTTTTCCGATTTTTGCAATAATAATAATTATTTTTCCGAATTGCAACTAACTCTATCTTGTTCAGAATTTAATTGCAAAACTTTTTTCCTCTTCCATTTTTGTCTAAAATGAATAGTTGCTAAGTTGTCGACGAGAAATCCAAGAAAAAAATGAATTTTTTTGCTATTTTTTATACTTTTTTGCAATAACAATTAAACCCACGTTTTTTTATTTGCATAGAAAAATTATCAATACTGTTGTTATTTAGAAGCCGTATCTCCGATCATATGCGTTTTACCCAAGTATACCCTTTTTAAAACAGATACCGCATGGACTAATTCGCAGCATCGACAGGCACCAGAAACCCTCATTATTAGTGCAACCTAAAATAATTCAAAGATCACTATGTACCTAACACCATGTAAAAGTTAAAGAGATATTACCTTAATCATTAAATATTCTTTATCGGAAGCCCCGGTCAAAAATTCTTCAATATGTGCTCTTTCCAATACTGCAGCTTTTTTGCTTTGTATCCTCTCGATTCACTCTTCAAGTAAGCAGTAAGCTCGTTACATTTTCCAATACCTATATTTTTGTAGGCCTTCAACATCGAATACTTCGACCACATAGATGAAATTGCATATTTTTCTTCAAATTTAAAAAATACGATAGCATGACTTCTTCATTTAATGTCATTACTCTCCTTTTTTCCCTCCATTCGTTAAATTCGGCGAACATTTTTTCGTAATGTTCCCTGGATTTCGCTGGCAATAAATGGAAAATTGCTTCTTGAGCTTCTTCAAAAACAGCCACAGGAACAAAACCTACCACGTTTGGTTGAGTACTAGTAGGAAATATCAAGTCGTGCGAATATTTTTTTATTAAATTTCAATAATTCCAAATATGATTGTGATGTGATTATGGATACAACGTGTCTTAATTGCCTTTTATCCACTTAAGATGCTACTTGAAACACTTATACAGTAAATAATTATTGTTTCCTAATTCTTCATATTAATCTCTCAATTTCATATGGATGTGATAATGTTTTATTTTTCAAGATAAATCAAGAGAGGCAGGTAGCCCACAAAGCAGTTGTTTTCTGCAATATCGTTAGTTAAATATCGGTTCTCCTAGTTGACGAGAGAGGTCGTGCTATCACAATACCTGCAGATTGAAGGTTGCTCTCTACCTAGTATGGCCTGGATATTGAGTAGCAGTGACTGTTCATAGATGTAGCACTGAGCTGCATCTGGCATATATTCTATTGAAGATGCCTGTTTCCTTGCCGTAACATATTTCACCTATGTTTTCAAAATTATTCAATATAATTTCAAATCTTACGAAATTCGTACCTAAGCAAAACCTTTATTATGCTCCCACAACTCTCGTGGCTACCGTCCAGAAATTTTCGAGCCTGCGACAATCATGAGGGTTACAAGTTCCTAAAACTTCCGTACCACGTACTGCAAGAGGGCTTCGCTTTACAACCTCTTAAAATTTCCAAATCTGGTACTCTTAGGAGACCTCATAAGTGCTCCAGCCAACTCAAAAGACAGTGTTAAAAAGACACCAGAGCATCAACTCACCAGTGCTAATAAAAAAAAAGTGCAGTGAAAGAAGGCTTAGTCAAAACTAATTACATTCCAAGATATGGCGCCTAACGTGGGGCTACGAATTCTGAAATGCTAACGGATTTGTTTACTTTACTATTTTTAGTCATTGTATTGTTTTTTTTTGGAGTAAATTGTAAACTAAATAAATAAAACAAAAATGAATATAAGGCAGGGAAAAATATTTTGATCCGATTTTATCTTATAAGTAATGTAATACACTAAATTTAAAAAATTCTAGTACTCATGGGGAAACTTTTACTCGCACTTGTCACATCGGAAGATTCTCCCTGTATATTATTCTGGCATCTGATTTAATTTTTAAACAATTACCTAGGTTGACAATTATTACTGAAAATTATTTACCAACTATTTTACTTATCTTTAAGGAAAACGAGGAACGGGTCTTGTTAATTTTGGTGCGTTATTTTTCATTGTTGCAGAATTAAAAAAAATTGAATTCCAACTAATTAGAAACTAAGATAAATGAATAAAAAAGCTACGGCTTGACTAAATTCATCTTCTTACCAGATTAGCACCGGAGCTCACTTCTTTAGGATAGGTGCAAGAAAAACAAAGGCAGCTGGTATTGGTGTGGGTATACTGAAAAATATTATGAAGCAAGGGAAAAATATTGCAAATGGCGAAACCTAACTCCTTACGGGGTTATAAAGCTACGAAGTTATGGGATGGTGCAATGAAATCATAAATTCCAATTTTTTTCCGTTCCTTGACTCCTCAAGTCTGTTTTTGTGGCATTGTTTATTTTTTTATACAAATTTATGTTCAAAATGGTTTTTTTTCTTTTCCTTGTAGTTAGATATGTTAAATAAGGAATGCACAACCTCAAATATTATCTACAAGTTTGTAAACACTCTGTATACAGCGAGGTAAAAAAAAGTACATAACTTTTTCAATACGCAGCAAATTTAATGTAGACGAAAAATGTTATAATATACATTATACATTAAAAACATGTTCCTTCATTACAGATGGAAGAAACCTTTTACAGATTTAAACCAGGAATGACTTTCTGGAGCCAAAGAAGGCTCATCAGTTGGTGGTGGTGGTGGAGATGGTCCGTCGCTTGGTGGTGGTGGTGGGGATGGTCCATCGCTTGGTGGTGGTGGGGGTGAAGATGGATCGTCTTTGACGAGAGGCTCGTCACTTGGTGGTGGTGGTGGGGATGGTCCGTCACTTGGTGGTGGTGGTGGGGATGGTCCGTCACTTGGTGGTGGTGGGGGTGAAGATGGATCGTCTTTGACGATAGGCTCGTCACTTGGTGGTGGTGGTGGGGATGGTCCGTCACTTGGTGGGGATGGTCCGTCGCTTGGTGGTGGTGGTGGGGATGGTCCATCGCTTGGTGGTGGTGGTGGTGAAGATGGATCATCTTTAACGATAGGCTCGTCACTTGGTGGTGGTGGTGGTGGGGATGGTGGCGATGGTCCGTCACTTGGTGGGGATGGTCCATCGCTTGGTGGTGGTGGTGGTGAAGATGGATCGTCTTTAACGATAGGCTCGTCACTTGGTGGTGGTGGTGGTGGGGATGGTGGCGATGGTCCGTCACTAGGTGGGGATGGTCCATCGCTTGGTGGTGGTGGGGGAGACGACGGGTCTTCTTCTACATATGGGACTATCTTTGCATGGTGATCTTCTGGAGCGTGCCTCCACTGTTCATGGTGGTTGTGATGTTCACGTCTGTGATCAATCCTTTGGTAATGTTCAGGTCTAAAGTGCGGTACAGCCTATAAAAAAATTAGTATTTGATCAACATTGTCTTCTGTCAGAAACAGTCAAGTGTCAGTATGGGATAAGATAATAACCGAAACACTGGAAAATTTGGTTGGCCAGTAATACGAGTTGCCAGCCACTTATTTGCACGACCGTCGCCAACTGGGGAAAACAAAATGTTTTAAATTGCCAGTGTTGCAAGAAACAACTACTTCGCGAGCTATATGCCCCGACCGGCATTGAATTATAAACTGACGAACGATCCTAGCTGTTATACTAGATGTAGCGAGTATAATTTAATGTCGGTTGGGGCATATAACCCGGACAGTAGTTGTTTCTCGCAACACTGGCAATTATAACTAAATTATTTTAAAACTTCTAATGCTTCTGGTTATACCAAAAATTGACCACAAAATTGTCATTTTAAATGGATTGTTATATTTTCTTAAACACATTTTTAAATCCCATTTTATTTTAAGCTACAGAATTGAATATTTATTATATTATTCATTTTTTGAAAACTATGATTGTTGAAGGATTGTTTTTATAGCGACATTTCTTGAAAAATAAGAGTTTTTATATTAATTAAGGTACGTAGGGAACTACTTGGATAAAAAGTGTCGAAGTCGCAGGGTACTTCAACTGAGGGTAATATTGCACCAAGAGTGTTACAGGATAATATTATTATCCTGCAACACCCGTGATGCCTTCAAGTTGAATGTTCAATTAGCCTGTTATTTATTTCCGTGTTAAAGCATTTTTAATTTGTCCTAGAGTGTTATAGATGTTTTTAATGCCCTAGTATAAATATCTGTTACAGTGATTATTACAAAATAAATTACATTATTTGCACATCAGTTCACAATTCAATTTTCAATTGTCTTATTTTCCTATAACTTTATCTTAAAGTATATGGGGTTATACAACTTTCATTGTAAATGTGTGAAAATAGAACTATTTTTATTTTTTTTATTATATAGTTTTTCAAAAGATACCTACTTATTGTAGTGTTATCTTTATAGGGACAATGTCGTGTACTACTGGAATGCAAATACCGATGTAGTTTTTTTATTATTATTCAACTGAAATTTCTATTAAGAAGAGACACTTATTGCCTTCAATAATTTTAAAAAATTCGTGCGTATACAAAATTTAATTCTAAACAGTTTTTCTTAATATGTATTCTGAAATCTCTGTGGTAATTTTGAGACACAATTCTGTTGTTTTTTTTTAATTTCACGTAAACTTTAAAAGACCGATAGCACAACACTTCACCACACGACGCCTGCTTCATCATAGCATAGTTTTAACCGGAAATGTATGTTAGTTATGTTTTGCAACCAAAATTAGTTATTAATTGATATTTCCATATAAAGCTAATTCAAATAATTCTAAAAAATCCTCTTTTATGGCAAACAGTGGCACCCAAAACAATACTTCCAATCGCGGTCAGCAAAGATTTTATATAAATTTCACCCTGTGCAATTAAAGAGAAAAAACAAACGAATAATTATATTAACTGCTCACCTGTACTGCTAGGACTGATGCTAGAGTCACAAGAACGATGCTCTGGAGCTTCATCTTTGATGAGTGTGAATCTACGTTGGAGCCGAGCTCTATTTATATTTCTCTGTGGGGGATATCGATATTTTTTTTCTCTCTCTTTGAACTGGCTTTTGAAAATGAAAACTATTGATAATAAAATAGTTATCAGTGCTCCGCCGAATAAAGTGTTAGATAAGAGTAAAAAAATTCGATTAGCTTCGTGTTTGAAATTTTTGTATCATTACCAGTACATTGTGAGACTATAATTGGAAATTGGTCTTGTTCCTTTATAAAACAGTAATATGTCCGTGGTTACCATAAACATAAGGTGGTAGTCAAGGGTTGAAATTCGGTGGCTTCAGATTCATGGTTCATTGAGACTTTTCTTTACGCGCCAAAGATCTTATTCTGAAATGATGACGATGGACTTAGATACCAAAACATCACATGACGCTGACACATATGAAACTATAAAATACTTATTATATAAAATTAACAAAAAATTTAACGCAGCAGAAGAATTTTCAAATTTTTTTAGTGATTTTTGAATCACTTCGTGAATAATGGTCATTTCGAGAAAAAAAAGAAGCATCTTGAAGCTTGAAGAGTCTAGTTTTGAAATCTTGAGATGGATTTTTTTTTTCAGAACAGCCCATGGACTCAGAAAATTTTTTTTCTGGCTTAATTAATGCTAAGGTCATTTAGTCTGATTCCTCAACTTTCATTTTATTTTTTTTTATTTTCTGAACAATTATTTCTCATTGAGACATCAGCTCTTGATTAAAAAGTCACCTTTTTTTATCATCGATATCTTGAATCAATCCTCTTTAAGGGTCTTTTAGTATGTTCGACAAAAAAATATATATTCAGTGTTAATATAAAAAAGTGCAAAAATCAACGACTACTTTACAAATATTGCGAAAAGTTCCAATGTTCGTAGGTTTTGTTTTTAGCTTTTGAAATCATCGGTAAAACCATTTTTCATTCCTGAATCGTCAAAGTTTTATAAAAAATTAAAAGAACAGGTTTATGGTTCCTTAAACATCAATTAATGATGACTAAGACGAAAAAAAATTGTTTTGCTTTATTTTTCTCATCATTTAGGGATTCCTAAAATTAACCGTTTTCGAGATATTTAATTTTAAAAAAAAAATGGTAAGAAACAGTGAGTAGCTTCACACCATGTGTATTTTATAGTAAGAAAGATAAAGCAACAATATTTATAGGGGGATAGCTAGACCCCTAAGCTTCTCATCCATACTTTCAGAGTGGCCTAATTGCATACAGGGTGCTAGAAATTTAATGCCGAGTTTAGTTAACTTCAAACCTTCATAAGTCGGTTTTTTTAATGGAACACCCTGTATGTTTTTCTATACTCTGATATACAATTTTATTTTCTTTCGAACGGTATGAGGGTTCCTATACCTATCTCTTCTAGTTTTTAAGTTATCTACTATTTTTTGTGTAATCACCTTGTTCAATCATTTATTTGTGGGTTGTTGAATATAATTGTTTCTTTTCTTATTTTGGTAATTTAATTTAGATCTAGTAATCAACTTAATTTAGCTCTAGTAGTAATTTCACATATATTTACCGCGGGAAGTACGCCACTGACCGGAGGAAGAATATACCGGGTGATTCAGTTTGATACGGCCTCGTATCTCTTTTATTTTAACAAATAGCTATAACAAACCCTATATATTTTTAAATCACCGCTCAAACTCTATCAAATGAAATTATTAGATCGTCTCCATGGTAACACATGTTAAAATTGCTATAGTCAACTGTTTTTGTTCAAATGGCACACTATATATTTTTTTATCAATTCTGGAAGATATTTTTTTTTCTGCGTCCAGCTATATAAAGAAGTCTATAGTTTTATTAAAAATATTGCTAGAAAAACAGCAACAAAGATTAACCCTACTTTCAGTAGCTTTATTCTGAAAAATGATAGCCAGCTGCGGAAACAACTGAATTTTGACGTTTCTGAATAACGGTTTGTCAAAATAATTTACATTTTGTACCTACCTATTCTATCTATTATTAATTATAACATGCATACTTACAGTAACCAAGAAAAACTAGATATGATTTTAATTTATGGAGAGGGCCGATACAACGATAAAGCTGCCAGGTATTTATACTAACATCGTTTTCCGCAGAGACAACTTCCATTAGATAAAATTTTCGGAAAGTTAGATAGGAATTTGGCGGCAGATGGAAGTTTTCAAAAGTAAAGAAGAGTTTTTAAACCCAGAAGGGCAAGAAATGAAGAACATTCGATAAAGATGTTAAATGACATGCTAGATGTCCGGATCTCACCCCTATAGATTTCTTTCTTTGGTCTTACCTAAATGATATTGACGACCTTAAAAGCAGAATTAGAGTAGAATGTCGGAGATTAAATGAAGAAACGCCGTCTGGTGGAGCGTTGTAAAGGCCTTTTAGGGACACCCTGTGTATGTAAATATATGCTCTAGAGCTTCGGGGAAAAAAATTTGGTGAATAAATTGACCAAGAGTAATCGCTGGAAATAGTTTTCAAGCTCGTAGTTCGACAGCTAGGGGCGCAATCTACATGCCAAAACATAGAGTTGGATTTTTCCCAGAAACGTTTCCTATTCAGGTATATCAAATGGTACAAATATGGATAGCCGGATTCATTACGCATAACTTTTGTTCTTGACATTTTGTTCTATCTCTCGACGGAAAGGGCGGGGGAAGTCCCTAATGTCTGATCAGAAAAATGCATTTTTTAAGGATTGGCACATCAAAAGCCCATAGTGTTATACATCGTTGGAAAGAGCTCTTCATGCTTTACCTCGTAGTGAAAGCGTAATGTCATTTACCTCAATGCGGAAACCTATTGATGGCGTTATTTCAAAAGAATGCCGTTTTATGGATTTTTCTTAGAAATTTTAAATAAAATGCTAGTTTTCTTTACATAAATTAATTCGGCACAAACAATTGATGAAGTTAAGTTTGAAATTTTTAACGAAAGTGTTGTTTATTTATAGGCCCTATTTATCCAAGTTTAGGTTGCTTCACGTTTTCTGAAAAACGTGAAATAGCAGGATAAAACATTTTTAGGTTAGTTTGAAGAGCATAAAAATAGCTATATTTTGACACCAAAAAGGGTTCGATCAACGAATTGTAACCACTAGAAGGAGCTTTGGATATATTTGTTTGCGAATGTACATAAATAAATCAGATCTTCAGGAGACACAAATTTCTATTGGTCGAATTAATATTCCCGCCTACATCCGCATTTCGATGATTGTCGATGATATCTGTCAAAGGAAAAGTGTGTAGCCGCTATTAACGTATTTGAGTTTATTTGTGTTTAGTGAGGCATTTTCCTCTTATTGTTGTGTAGTTTTTATGTATGGACATTTATTTAGTACTAAAACATGGTTAGAAAGTGTGTTATTTGTAAAGTTTTATTTAAAAAGGCGGTCATTTGACAGGTAAGTAAATAAGCAACTTGGGCGGCGTTTGAGGAATTACATAAGGGTATTTTACATTTAGAAAATTCTACCTGTTACCTATTTATATATTACCATTTTATTTTATATAAACACTACCCTAAGTGTTTATATAAAATACATCTGGAATAGATAATTCATCATTTTTAGGAAAAGGCTTTATCCACGATATTTTGGAGAATGTCATACTTCTGACATGGATAGTCCAAAAAGAGCCAGAAAAAATTGGAGTATTTGTAAGAAAAAAATAAAAATGCAAACAAAAAAGTCGAAGTCTGCAGCAGGCAAAGAGTCGTCTAAAAGCCAGAATTTGTAGCCTTAATTCTCTTCTGAAATTTTTGAAAAAGAAATATGACAACAGAAATTGTTCAATGTATCATTCATGTAAGTTGAAAAATACTTATTCTTTCTGTGTCTGTAAACAATATGTAATATTAGAAAGCAGCACCTGCAATATTAGGTGAAATTTGTCAAAGATAAAAAAATGACAATCTCGTAAAAAGTATTCACCTGAGCTTAGGTCGTTTGCCTTAACGTTAAGCTTTTATTCCACAGATGCTTATAATTATGCAAGAAGAAGTTTTAACATGGCTTTGCCACATACAAAAACAATTTCTAAGTGGTACAGATTTATAAATGGAACACCTGGATTTTCAAATGAAGCATTGGTTGCTATTAAAAATCAAAGAGAAACAAACAGTGAAATTTTGGGCAATTTGGTATTTGACGAAACGTCTATAATGCAAAGTGTTGAGAGGAATGGGAAACGATTCACTGGATATGTTGATGTCTGCACTGAAGTATATGTGGATAATATTCCAGAAGCTATGGAAGCCCTTGTTTTTATGGTTGTAGCTATAAATAGTCATTGGAAAATATCTGTTGGGTACTTCTTGACAAACGGTTTAAGTGGTGGAGAAAAAGCTAATTTGTTAAAAAAAATTTTAGAATTTTTAAGTGAATTAGGTATCAAAATAGTTTCTGTTACTTTTGATGGTGCTCCTTCAAATATCAAATTACGGCTTTACCATAAATGTTAATGTTAATATTAATAAGTACGATTGTAGATTGTAAGTTTGTAGCATTTTAGGTTATTTGTTGACTTATTACTGTTTCAAATTGGGTTTCTAATAAAAACTAGAAAAATAAACCAAACATTTGTCTTTTTATGATTTCTATAAGTCACTAGTGGGTTTTATAAGTCATAACTTACTAGCGACTTATGACTTATAACTCACTAGTGACATATAGGCCACATTATTCCTTTAACACCAAAGAAATTATAGTATCAATATATACAAGTGTTGGATAAAAGCATTTAATTAATCAGTCAAAACAATTTGAGTATAGTAAAAACAGTTTATTAATTTTACTTCAATTTTTGCCGTCTCACTATATCACCAATATGTAAAAATTATTTATAAAATGAGTTGGTATTTTGTAAATTTTAATATTTTGCCTTTTTTGACAGTACGCCACTGCCGTTGTGTCTCATTGTTTACATTTGACACTATCTATCGTTATTTATTAGGTAGTTCTCTGTTTAGATGTTTGCTACAGTTAAAACACATGTATAAGAATACACAAAGCTCCTTCTAGTGGTTAGAATTCGTTGGGTTCGATATATTTTTTTGTTATCAAGTTATTCGCAAATTAGTGAACAAAAAATAAATAATGGTAATGAATTGAGGAACACGACGCTAATGAAAAGACATTTAATTAGCAAAACAAAATGCGTTTATAAAAAAACCTACTTAAACCCACGTAATAGGTCAGGAAAATCAGCTGGGAAATTACCATTTCGCGACTTTTTGTTTCGGCAAGCTGAATTTATCACTATAGATGCTAAATATTATGTACAATAACATATTAGTTTCCACAGTCATGAAAATGGGAGGAAGGTTGTTTACAGGGTGGTTAATTGTATAATTTTTACGTAAATTCACGTTTTTCGCTTATAACTTTTTTCCGTTCATTTCCACGAGAAAACAGTACTTTTTTTTTGTCTTCAAAAGACCTACAAAACTAGCCCTCGAGCGTTAAAAAATATTGATTAGAACAAAAGTTATAAACAGAAGAAGTTTATTTATGACTTTTGAATTAAACATTTATAAACTGCGTTATTATTACCAGAACGTTTTGGCATCGCATCCTCTCATTCCTTATCACTGTCTAATAACTCACACGAAATCTGGAATCGGTAAGTTGAATAGTTTACAAGTTATAATAATACGTTGAAATCTATCATTTTTTTTTTAATTTCAAATTTGCAACCTGGAATTTTTTTTATTTTTTAGCTTTAGTTGCAAAATGAAATATACGACGTGCGAGCGTGATATAGTTATATATTATTACATATTTGGAGAGCTTATGAAAGGAGCTTTAAGTTAAAAAAAAATCGTCAAGATTCGTTGAAAAACAATGGAGTTACAGACTGTCAAAATTGACCGCCGATTGTTAAACAAATTAGGTTGGCAGCGGCAAAAAAAAACTGTCATAACCGGTAACTCGAGTACTTTCCCAGGTAAAAATATTTTATTTGTGGAAGTATGTTAAGTGCATAAGAAATAAACAAGTTTTATTTTTTCAATAGCAAGATTTTTAGGGTTGTATAAAACACCTACTTAACAAGTGAAATAAAATTTAATTATCTTCAGTGTTATCCTCCATGAATTTGCACATAATAAAATACAGAATTTGAAACTGCACCTATCATTGCTAACGCAAAAAAAAAATTATGTTGCGTTTTTTTGGTACCACTTACTTGCCAGGCTTTCTGGTTAATTTTTCGCTTTAGTTGTAAATTGGAGCTCAAAACGTTACTATTGTGTCAAAATCAAGTAATTTACTGAATTGCAATGGTATTGTCGGAAAGGTAACGCATCGACATCTTGATATTGCTTGGATGTGGAGACAAAATAAGAAGTCAGGCTGAAGTGCGCGATTTATTTAATGCGAAATATCCCGAAAACCAAATCTCGCAAGGGGCAGTTAGTAAAATATTTCACAAATTTGAGGAACACGGTACAGTACAGATTTTGCTCAAAACTGGACGGGCAGTGCTTTGAATGAAGAAAAGTAATTAGAGATTGCATTAGAACTTGTTGAAAATCCTCATACTTCAACTGTTTCATTGGCCCGCAATCACGATGCTTCTTGAACTGCAATTCGAATGTTTCTGAAACAAGAGAAATACCACCCCTATAAGGTATGTATTGTCCAAGAGCTTTTGGAAGACGATTATGATAGGCGATTACAATTTTGTGAGGAAATGATGAGACGGTGTGACGACAATAATGGTTTTCAACGAGACGTACTTTTTTCGGATGAAGCTACGTTTTATTTAAATGGAGTGGTTAACAGGCACAACTATCGCTTTTGGTCCCAGGAAAATCCACACTGGACATGCGAATCGCATACGCAGCATCCACAAAAAGTTAATGTATGGGCAGGTATCATCAACAACAGAATCTTGGGCCGATTCTTTTTTGAAGAAAATCTTACTGCCGCACGCCACCTGGATTTCCTAACATTTGACCTGATACCTGCTCTAGCTGTGATTTTCCCTCATGAAATTGATCCAGATATACCGAATGAAGGAATTTGGTTTCAACAAGATGGCGCTCCCCCACATTTTGGTATTGATGTTCGAAGATACTTAGATGAAATGATTCCAAATCGCTGGATTGGTAGACGGGGTACAGTTGAATGGCCGACAAGATCCCCCGACTTAACACCCCTGGATTATTTTCTTTGGGGATATTTGAAAGAAAGAGTCTACCAGGACAGACCGGATAATATTGAGAATTTAAAGAACAAGATTAGGGCGGAGATGCATAATTTACCAGCTGAAATCATTCAGAATACTGTGGACAGCTTTTACTATCGTCTTGGAGAATGCCAAATAGTGAATGGAGGACATTTTCAGCATTTGCGACATTGAGTTTATTTTTGTAAATTATCTAGTTGTTTCAATTTCTAAATGAAAAAAAAACTTGCTATTTTATTTATTTGGTATGGCTGGATTCGGTTTTCTATAAGCTTTTCAACGAGCCCCCTCATGCCTTATGTTTCCATTTGAAAAAAAAAGGTAGGGGTAGCTGGGGGTTAGGGGGTTGAAGAAAAATTAATTATTATATAACCGAAAGACGGGAAAAAATCAAAATCAGTTAACAGGTTTCGGGGTTTTAAAAAAATTTACTCATTCAAAAGATATGAATTTTATTCCGTACTTCTGGCCATCCCTGTAGATAGATATGTATATTATTTCTGAGGGGTGGGCTTATAATAAAAATATATTAAAAACACATAACAATTTAATTAAAAAAAACTTTATAAGTACAGATACTCGTTATCTTCTGTCTCACTTAAGTAGCCTTTCTAAATCGGGATCTATATCTCTGTCTTCTACAGCTTCCAAATTTTCATAACGTAAGTTTAAGTACACATATATGATGATGTATGATATATTGTATGTTAATATTGTATAAAATATTGTACTGTATTATTGTTCTCGAAACAAGTCATTACTTATCGAGTATATGTTTTATTACTTCTTTATGCTTATTATTCTTACAATTAGTATTAAGATTAGATTCTAAAATTGATTATTGTGTATTGTTGGAAAGGATGTAGCATAGGTAAATAAACATAGTTATAGGTGCACTTACATCTATTTGATATTATGCAAAATAGATTTTTGTTCAGTTCATAGTAAATGTGAAGATATGAGAACCATAATTCATTTGGAAATCGGGCTATAAAATAAAATTGGTTATATATAGACTTATATCCCTTTGGCATTTGATGGCAGGTATTGTTCTACACATATGGCAATAAAAATATCAAATGGGGATTAAGTGGACTAATACCTTTTTGCCACAGAAATATAATAATAAATGCTCAAAATGTATACTATTATTTTCAGTCCAAGAATTTAACCTTCGCTGCGTGTTTAGGTAGATTCTTTTATGAACGTATTTTATTTTGGTAATTAAATGTCTTTTCGCTAGTGTCGTGTTCCTCAATTCATTATCATTATTTATTTTTTGCATACTAATTTGCGAATAACTTGATAACAAAAAAATATATCGAACCCTCTTTGGCTTCAAAATGTAGTTATTGTTATGCTCTTCAAACTAATCTATAAAAAGTTTTATCCTAAGCTTGGATAAATAGGGCCAATAAATAAAAAACACTTTCGTTATAAATTTCAAACATATACTATATTCATCAAATTTTTCTGCTGAATTCATTTTTGTAAAGAAATCTATAGCATTGCATTTAAAATTTTTGAGAAAATCCATAAAACGGCATTCTTTTGAAATAACGCCATCTATAGGTTTCCTTGCATTACGCATTCACCACTAGATAAAGCATGAAAAGACCTTTTCAACGAGGTATAACTATGGTCTTTTGACGAGCCAATCCTTAAAAAAATGCATTTTTCTGATCAGATATTAGGGACTTCCCCCACCCTTCCGTTCGAGAGATAGAAGAAAATGTCAATAACAAAAGTTTATTGACATTTTGTTCAATTATTCTTGACAAAAGTTATTGACTGTTTTGTTACTATTTAATATACCTGAATAGGAAACATTTCTAAGAAAAATTCAATTCTGTTTTGGTATGTGGATTGCGCCCCTAGCGGCCGAGCTACGAACTTGAAAACCATCTCCAGCGATTTCTCTTGGTCGATTTATTTAACACAATTTTATCCCCAAGTTCTAGTATCGTACCTCGCCGACCTTAGTGGGACACATGCATAATATCTAGATTTCCGATATCGAAGACGGTTGTTTGCTTCATTTGATATAATTTGTTTGATTTAGCTTAATACCTTAATAAAGAGTAAAAATATGTGGGCTCATAATAAAATATATTATGTATCTATAAAAATATCCATTATACATTAACATTACACTAATTACAGATGGAAGAAACCTTTTACAGATTTAAACCAGGCATGACTTTCTGGAGCTAATACAGGCTCATCAGTTGGTGGTGGTGGGGATGGTCCGTCACTAGGTGGGGATGGCTCGCCGCTTGGTGGTGGTGGGGGAGAAGATGGATCTTCTTTAACGATTGGTTCGTCACTTGGCGGGGATGGCTCGCCGCTTGGTGGTGGTGGCGGTGAAGATGGATCCTCTCTAACGATAGGTTCGTCACTTGGTGGAGATGGTTCGCCGCTTGGTGGTGGTGGGGGAGAAGATGGATCTTTAACGATAGGTTCGTCACTTGGCGGTGGTGGTGACGGTCCATCACTTGGTGGAGGTGGTGGAGAAGATGGTTCTTCTTTAACGATTGGTTCGTCACTTGGCGGGGATGGCTCGCCGCTTGGTGGTGGTGGCGGTGAAGATGGATCCTCTCTAACGATAGGTTCGTCACTTGGTGGTGGTGGGGGAGAAGATGGATCCTCTCTAACGATAGGTTCGTCACTTGGCGGTGGTGGTGACGGTCCATCACTTGGTGGAGGTGGAGGAGAAGATGGATCTTCTTTAACGATTGGTTCGTCACTTGGTGGTGGTGGCGGTGAAGATGGATCCTCTCTAACGATGGGTTCGTCACTTGGTGGTGGTGGTGGGGATGATCCGTCACTTGGTGGGGACGGTTCATCACTAGGAGGTGGTGGGGGTGAAGATGGATCGTCTTTTACTATAGGTTCATCACTAGGAGGTGGTGGTGGGGATGATCCGTCACTTGGTGGGGACGGTTCATCACTAGGAGGTGGTGGGGGTGAAGATGGGTCTTCCTCTACATATGGCACTATCCTCGCATGGTGATCTTCTGGAGCATGCCTCCACGAATCATGGTGGTTGTGATGTTCACGTCTGCGATCAATCCTTTGATGGTGTTCAGGTCTATAGTAAGGCACCGCCTGTAAATAATAATCTACAGTTACTTCTGTCAGAAACAGTCACTATTCCTACGGGAAAAGATGCTAACAGACAACATTAGAAATTTTGTTTGGTGAGTATCAGTAGGACCAACATAACTAAAATATTTGCAAGTTTCTAGTAGGTACTCTGGATTATAAAAGAAACCGACGTCAAAATTATTATTTTAACTGTAATATATTTTTAAATCCCATCATACTTTAAGCTTTGTAATTAAATGTATAGGCATTTGGAAAGCTGTGATAAAACAAAAATGGGTTTGTATATTAATTAAGCGTATTATTTGGATAATAATGTGACGAGGTAGACAGTGTACTTCGACACAGGGAAATATTTCGCCACGGGTGTTATAGGAGAATAATACCTTATAACACCCGTGGTGCCTTCAATGTCCTACTAAAGTCTGTTTAGAAATGAAAGAGAGTAATAAAAGCTTATTATGTATGCAAATCGTAAATAAATGTAGTACTGGTGCTTATATTCAATATTTTTATATTATGTATTTTCGGTATAGGGGAGGTGTACTTTTAAAAAAACTTTGTGTGACCGGGTTGTACTAAATTGTAGCAGGTAGATAAAATTTAATCCCCGACAATCCGTCTTTGTCTATGCCGCTTCAATTTCTCGGTCCATTTCTCTTATAAGTAAACAATATAAAAACAGCATTTCAAAACATGAGGCTACTTTAAGCATCATAACCGGGTTAAGAGGGTTTTTAGTAATTCAAATAAAATTANCGGTTCATCACTAGGAGGTGGTGGGGGTGAAGATGGATCTTCTTTTACTATAGGTTCGTCACTAGGAGGTGGTGGTGGGGATGGTCCGTCACTTGGTTGGGACGGTTCATCACTAGGAGGTGGTGGGGGTGAAGATGGGTCTTCCTCTACATATGGCACTATCCTCGCATGGTGATCTTCTGGAGCGTGCCTCCACGAATCATGGTGGTTGTGATGTTCACGTCTGCGATCAATCCTTTGATGGTGTTCAGGTCCAAAGTAAGGCACCGCCTGTAAATAATAATCTACAGTTACTTCTGTCAGAAATAGTCACTATTCCTACGGGAAAAGATGCTAACAGAAAACATTGGAAATTTTGTTTGGTATCAGTAGGACCAACATAACTAAAATATTTGCAAGTTTCTGGTACTCTGGATTATAAAAGAAACCGACATCAAAATTATTATTTTAACTGTAATATATTATCATACTTTAAGCTTTGTACTTAATTAAATTTTGAAAAAAAAATTAAACGTATTATTTGGATAATAATGTGACGAGGTAGACAGTGTACTTCAAAAAAAAGTTAGGTTAAATTTTATAAAGCGAAAATAAGTAGTGTTGTTTCCCAGTTTTTCTAAAATATATTTATATACATTTTTCAATTAGTCTGAATAAAATAAAAACTATAAAAGTTTCTACCTATATAGGTACATATTATGTTATTTTGATGATAAGAATTTGAATTTTACATAGAGGCCTATACAGAGACAAGTTTGTGTTAAATTCTTATCTGTTTCGAAAATTTAGTTACAATGTCAATAGTTCTGGCATAAAATACAGATATTTAAGCACCAGAAGTTAACTCGATGTACCTAACTGATTATAATTTCAAAGTATGTGTGCAATAGTAGTAAACAATATTCCTATTAGCTGGAATTATAAATTATTATTTTCTATAGGAAAATGTCTATTAAACAAATTTAGTACTTATTTCCTTCAATAGCTTTTATGTCTGTAAAATTAAATTCTATACAGCTCTTCTGGATATATTTTGAGAAACATTTGTGGTAACTCTACGAGCAGCAAATATCATGTAAAAATTTCACCACGGGCAATTAAAGAAGAAAACAAAAAACAAATTAATAATTATATGAATTGCTCACCTGTACTGCCACGATTGCTACTAAAGCCACAAGAACAATGCTCTGGAACTTCATCTTTGATGATTGTGTGATTTTTGTGGGCACCGAACTCTATTTATATTTTTCTCTGTGGGGGATATCGACGTCTCCCTCTGTCTTTTTCTATTTAAATTTAATTTTAGAAATAGAAACGTAGATGTCTCCCACTGATAATACAAGATAATACAAGATAATGCAAGTTAAAAAATTCCATTAACTTCGTGTTTGAAATTTTTGTATACTTACCGGTAATTTGTGAGACTACGAATGGAAATTGGCCTTTAAATTTTCTTTGTAGTGCTGTGTTATGTATACAGTTACCATAAACGTAGTGTGGTAGACAAGGGCTGAAACTCAGTCTTTAGACTTTTGGAATAGTCAGGCTGGCCAGACCCAAACAAATAACTATTTATTATTTGAGCTGGAGCGTTGCGCTATGAAAATAACATCACGCTGTTGTACTATCTAGCATTTTCCGTGCACCTAACCCCCTACACTATAGGTCCCATAGCGAGCTCGCGTGATAGAAATTTTTTAACTAAATAACCGCTGACAAAAAAAATCATCATGTTGCGGCGAAAGATTTAGTATTTGAGGGCAAATAATTTGACACAGAAAATCATCGCATATTAGTTCCAGTGGTGGAGATAGAGGGGTTTCTATGGATATTTTTATAAAAAAAAGTATAGCCGATTTGATATTTTGCAAATGTTTTCGAAAAATATGAAAGAGCATTCAATTTTACCCAGAAAAGGCCCTCTTGTCCAAAGTCGATAGGAGGTGGCGTTTTCAAGAAAAACCGAAAATACTGTTTAGAAGTCAAATAATAATTTTTAAACATTGTGTTACAACTAAATTAAATATGTAGTTCAAAAATTCGGTTAAAATTGTTTTTAATTAATTAAATGAAAATAAATACAAAAATAAATAACGAAAACCATATTATATCAAAGTAAATGTTCGAAATGTAAACTATTTTCTTCGATACATAACTGACACCGATGCTGAATAGAACGTCTCATTTGAATTAAGTTATTCAGGCCGAGTATGTATCCCATTTTATCATAATAACAGTTATATATTATTTCAGGGTTGTTAACGTTACCTGTTAAGATATAACATGAATGTTATTGAGGAATTAAGACCATTTTTAGCAAATACTCGTATTGCAATTTTGTTGTTTTTTGAAGACGCTTTTGTGTCGACATTTTTAATAATAATTATGCAAAATTATTATAAACAAGAGTCAGTATTAGACAAAAACACATATAACTGACAGATGTCTTTTAGTTTATGAAACATGAAACAAATGCAAACTCATAAATGACGGATAAGTACAACATAAAATAGTTTGTAANTATATATATATATATATATATATATATATATATATATATATATATATATATATATATATATATATATATATATATATATATATATATATATATATATATATATATATATATATATATATATATATATATATATATATATATATATATATATATATATATATATATATATATATATATATATATCATAGCAGAGACTATTGATTTTAGATCTGCACGTCATAATTACGGAGACAATGTCATAGGTTACGTACAGTTACGAAGAGAGAATAAGAAATGCATTGTATTAGCACGGATGACGCCAGAACATAAATTGAATTCAAAATGTTAAAAAGTTGGCTGTTTGACATTAGAAAAAGAAACGCAACTTAAAGAGCATCATCTTTTTTTTCATAGCCTTCTGCCATTGTTTATTTATTTTCACACTGGGGAGCAATACAAGTAATTTCTTTCTGTTATGTTTTTTCCATATTGCTAACAAAATTCTGTATCTCAACGCACTCAATCGGAACTTAACAGGCAACTAAAACCCGACTACCCGACTGATTAACAAGACACGCAAGCATGCCGCAACGGTTTCCCATGCGATGACGTGACACCCGGCGATCCAGCGGATACTCAACACGCCACTATGTGATTTTTTTTGGATGACTTGTAGACGATATAAAATTCTAGTTTTTTTTGCAGAGAATCTTAAAATTGCAATATCTTTCCGTTAAGCAAATAAAAACAATTTTCTGAATGAGCCCATTGTTTAATGATGGCAATGAGATATTCCTAATAATTCCATAAGTTACGGTTGTTATCCGGTACTAAGCTAGAGCATTACCTACATACGAAAATTTCGTATAAGGCAAGTAATATGGCAGAAGTCGGAATATCACCGTGTTTTTTGAATACATAGTTTCTCCAGAAATCCGAGGTGGTAATAAGACAGTTGTTCAGCGGTAAGCTCAGGGAGTCAGTAAGACAAGTGGTGGTGGTGGTACGACGAAAGTGGGAGCGGTGTGTTTTGGTTGTGGTTAAGTACAACCATTCTTAATACACCTTACCAGGCACCTCTCTTTCTACGGCCCCAGTGGTGTTTAAGAATCTATGTGATCTTTCCTGAGCTTATAGATCCAATTTAGTCGAATATCTCCCATGTTTGAGCTTCCAGCTTCTTCGGTCGGTTCTGGAGAGGACAGGACTCAAGTTTCTTTGTCTTCAACATCTCATTGCTTTTTTTAATAACGTCTCGCTGTGATCATGTGAGCGGAATTATCTAGTCACAATGATCTGCTTGGTCGAGGGACACGAGACTAAATGTTCCCAATGACGTGCTTAGTCTATGGTCTCAAGACCATGTATCAATTTCTCCTGAACGCTTAAATAGTTCAAATTGAAGCTATTAGTGTTGAATTTTGCGCCGTCGTTTTATTACCAAAAGAGGGGTCACAAGTTAGGTACAAGCAGATGCCGGAATTCTTGAGATTCGGCTTAAAAATCGGTGTGACATGGACTTTAAGGAAGGGTCACATACCTTGTAAATATTTTAGCTGGAGTCACTAAGAGCTCTGAGCACAGTAGGATAAAACGACGCTATTTGGTCTAGATGGTGTCTTACTTTCCAAATGGTTCACTACTACTTGTTTTTCTTGTTTTCAGCTTCTTGCTTGGCTGTGTATTTCTCTGATGGCTGGTCGAACTCCCTTTCAAATTTTAATGATCGCTTCGTTGGGTCGAATTACTTTGAAAATGGTGTTTTCTTGTTGAATAATTTCGCTTGGCTTCGAAAATTTTCGGAACGAATTCGGAATTTTCTCGCATGCTAATATTCTTGAAACTGACATTCAGTTCTAAATTCCTTCAATCGTTGTCGGAAACAGTTGAAATCTTCATTAACTCCTTATTAGGTCCCTGCTCAAGTACCAAATTTATCTATTTCTTTTAAAATATTAAAAAGTATTCATTTTCCCTTATTAATTTATGTCATAAAAAAATGTAAGGATATATTATTTTAACGCCGTAACAATAATGCGCTATAACAGGACCATTTAAAAAATATATACTTACAGTATTTTCTTGCAAATTAAAAAGTTTTAAATAATAATTCACACAAATTGATGGTTCAGACGTATGAATTTTAAAATCCATAATTTTGAGCACCTTCCGTTCCATCCCAAGGAGCTGATCTGTTACATATGAACTTTTACACAGACTTATTAAAGTAGATGCCTAAAATAAAGTAATAATAATATTAATACTATCTAATTGGTTACAATCATGTGGTAACATTCTAAAAATAAATAATATCTATCGGCAAAATATTCCAAAAAACATCTTTCATTATATATGAAATATGAGCGATTTGAGAGTTATTTTTTAATTTAAAATTAGCTCGAAAATAAACTTATTACATAGTTAAACAAACAAGGAGATACATTTTTCTAAATTCTCTAAAAGTATTCGTTTCATGAAAAAAATAGTACTTGTAAGTATAACTATTACATGTGAAAAAATATTGGCAAAGAAATTTTAATTTATTTTCTGAATGTGCCCTTCAGATAATACTGCTATAGATATTTTAAATTGACTCAAATGTGCAATAAGCTTATTTAAATTTAACAGACAATAGGGTCTATTCTGGAAGCGCCTGGGTTAAATTTGACGGATAGTTAAAATTCTGGATTTTAACGTTTTCCTGTATTATGTGAAATTCTTTTTAACGTACTAGTTAATAGTTAAAGTTAAAATTTTAGCGTGTCCGTTAAGGCAATCGTAGTTATTCAATCGGAAATTGTAGTTCAAACGCGCTCAAACAATTTCACAAAGAAGAAGAAGACAAAGTATTGATATTTAACCTACATTTTTATTATTCATGTCTGAACCCACTCATTATTTCTTCACTTTCGTTAACAGGGAAATTTATCAAGTCAGGTAATAAAAACGCTGTTATAGTGTTTGAGATTTCAGCTACACATCTGCTTACTGCGGGTTGGCTCACTGAAAAATTGCATCCGTGACCAACTGAGAGCTGATAACTTCTCTGTCAAAAAAAATTCAAAGCCATTAAAACTCGAACGTGTGTAGAAATTCTGGTTGCCCTTAGCCTCGTTGCACACTAGTCGGACGGGCTAACCGCATCCGGCTATCCAGATCCGGCTGGCTCTTTCACACATAATTTAATTTCCAAACCGGTTTGGCCGATATTATTAGTCTCAGTTGCATTTTTATCACGACAAGAGATGGATCGTAGACGCATTGCAATTATGTGGCTTGGCTATTGCTGATGTCGCAATAAAAAAAACAAAACATGAAAAATATCAAAAAAATATGAAAATGCCGGAACCAGCTCACCGGATCCGGTTACCCGGCAGCAAGGTGTACAGAGTCTTATATTATAACTTTCACACATGACGGAAGGAGCTATCCGGCGAACGGCCGCCGGTTTGTAGCCGGTCGTGACCACTGCCAGCCAGGCTGCCAGGTACCGGCTATCCGGCGACCGAAGTGGTAGTAGTGCATAGTTTTGTATTGACGCTTTCACACTTGCCGGGTTTAGTCGTCCGGTTTCATTGAAAAGAACAGGACGTGTCAATTATTTTTTTAAATATTTGTACTCAACTATGTTTGTCCGCTAGAAGTAGATATAGCATTCTTTATATCACTGCTTGAATCCAGACCTGTCCAGTGGGACAAAACTTTAGCATTTTCATATTTTTTGGATATTTTTTGTTTTTTTTTATTGCGACATCAGTAATAGTCAAGCCACATAATTGCAATGCGTCTACGATCCATCCCTTGTCGTGATAAAAATGCAACTGAGACTAATAATATCGGCCAAACCGGTTTGGAAATTAAATTATGTGTGAAAGAGCCAGCCGGATCTGGATAGCCGGATCCGGTTAGCCGGTCCGGCTAGTGTGCAACGAGGCTAATACCCGTTGCACACATGCCGGAACCGGCTAACCGGATCCGGTTACCCGACAGCAAGGTGTACAGAGTCTTATGGCAGCTTTCACACGTGACGGAAGGAGCTATCCGGCGAACGGCCGCCGGGTTGTAGCCGGTCGCCACCACTGCCAGCCCGGCTGCCATGTACTGGCTATCCGGCGACCGAAGTGGTAGTAGTTCATAGTTTTGTATTGACGCTTTCACACTTGCCGGGTGCTTGCCGGGTTCAGTAGCCCGGTTTCATTTAAAAGAACAGGACGTGTCAATTATTTTTTTAAATATTTGTACGCAACTATGTCGAATGTTTGTTCGCTAGAAGTAGATATAGCATTTTTATATCACTGCTTGAATCCAGACCTGTCCAGTGGGACAAAACTTTAGCCTTCTCATATTTTTTGGATATTTTTCATATTTTTTGTTTTTTTATGGCGACGACATCGGCAATAGCCAAGCCACATAATTGTAATGCGTCTACGATCCATGTCTTGTCGTGATAAAAATGCAACTGAGACTAATATCGGCCAAACCGGTTTGAAAATTAAATTACGTGTGAAAGAGGCAGCCGGATCCGGATAGCCGATGAAATTAAATATTTAAGTACGAACAAAAAAAAGACAAACATGTGGAATGTTATGTAGACAACCCCGTACCTAAGGGTAAGCCCAGCTAGGCTAGTTCGTCATTAGTATTCAGGGTGTTTCAGGATACATTTTTTTCTAGAGAAGCTTTGTAATTTTTAAAAAAATTTAAATTTTTTAAATAACTTCTAAATGAAGAAGGCTATTTAAGCCAAATGTGGCATGACACATCTTATAAGATACCATTTTTCTATAGAAGTAGAAGTCCCGCAAGCAACCAGTGGCAGAGTTATGGGACTCATTAAATTATAAAAAAAATTAATACGGCCCTACTGAAAATAAAAATAATGCTGTTTTTAGATAGAACAGTGTGTTATTGACAAAAAGTGTACATTAACTTTTTTCTGACTCTTATAGTTTCATGGCAAAATTGATTTTTCGGAAGGGTGCTTCTGGATTCTGTCGATAAACTTTAAAATGAACCTCAACAAAAAATTTCGAGTAGGCTGCTGTCAAGCAATGTTAATTTGACGTTTTAAATGTTATTTTGCGAATTGTTGCATAAATTATCCATTAGATAAAGCGTTCAAACTAATAAAAATAAGTTTAATAATGCCGTCCATATTTTCGAACAATGAATATGCCAATATGGTCTTTGTATATGGTTTTTGTGATGGAAATGCCACGGCATTCGCCGTGAATATGCAGTTTTTTTTTTCGCAATCGCCGTGAATATGCAGTAAGATTTCCTCATCGCAGACTACCAGCAAAGGAAACATTTTCAACGACATTCAGTCGTCTCAGACAAACTGAGTCTTTCGGTATTCCAACTTATGCTGACGGACATTTTGTCCCACTTCAGGACGAAGTAAGATCGAATACTATCTTAAACCATTTCGATGAAAATCCATCCACGAGTGTCAGAAGATCTAGCTATGAGCTAGGTATTTCGTCAAATTCCATTTGGAGGACTCTTCGGGCTNTATTCCAACTTATGCTGATGGACATTTTGCCCCACTTCAGGACGAAGTAAGATCGAATACTATTTTAAACCATTTCGATGAAAATCCATCCACGAGTGTCAGAAGATCTAGCTATGAGCTAGGTATTTCGTCAAATTCCATTTGGAGGACTCTTCGGGCTGATAGACGCCATGCATACCATATCCAGTGTGTGCAACATTTATTGCCTCAGGACATACGATGCAGGCGCATGTTTTGTGACTGGATGTTAAACCAAGCAGAGAATGATGATCAGTTTACGCAAAAAGTAATGTGGACGGATGAGGCAACATTTATTCGAAGGGGAATTTTAAACCAAAGAAACAACCATATTTGGTCCTACGAGAATCCACGGTAAGGGAACATACTTTTCAGCATGAATTCCAATGTAACGTATGGTTGGGTGTGTTGGACAACACTATAGTTAGTCCCTGCTTCCTTCCGCATCGGTTAAATGCTGAAATGTTTACCGAGTTCCTTGAAAATGGTTTTCAAGATTTGTTAGAAGATGTTCCGCTTAATACTCGAATGAACAGTTGGTTTCAACTTGATGGTTGTCCTGCCCATTTTGGTAGAGGTCCTAGGGAGTGGTTAAACATTAATTATCCCAGGAGATGGATTGGTCGTGGATGACCTGCAGCGTGGTCCGCACGTTCACCGGACTTGATACCGATGGATTATTTCGTTTGAGGTGCTGTTCGACAAAAAGTCTACGAGATGCCAGTTGATACCCTAGAACAAGGGTCGGCAACTGGCGGACCGCGGAAGGTCAAATACTGGATCGCCAAAAATTTTTTTTAAAAATTATTTAAAAAATGTTTTTTACGTTTAAGTGCCAATCTTATCATTTTTTCTAGTATTTACAATTGTGTGAGTGTTTTGAGTTCTTAATGGTTAGTAAGCAGATTAAAGAATCCAAATTAAAATAAAAAATAAGAAATGTGATTTTTTTTCTGGAACTCGTTAAAAATTTTCAAAAGTATTCGGACCCCACCTAAAATTATTTGCCGACCCCTGCCGTAGAAGATCTAAGACAGCGAATAGTCCAAGCGTGTCGAGAATTAACTCCAATTTAGTGTCGATCGGCCACTACTTCCATGGTTAGAAGATGTCGTGCTTGTCTACAGTTCGGAGGCGCCCATTTTGAACAAAATATTTTTTAAATCATTTCATTTTTTATTCACTTTTCGCTTTGTCTAGGTATTTTGGTTGTTTCAATTTACAAATAAATTTTCATATATTGTTTGCCATTTTATTTTATTTAAAAGTACACAACACAAGTAAATGAAGTGACTACAAACCGCCTGAAAAAATTTAGGAGTATAGCAAGGGTCGTTATGTTGTCGCATTACGACATAGTCACATTAGATGTTAGGTACTTAAATATTTCTATTGTTTTCATCATTTTTTTTTTTTTCTAAAAAAAACACCCTAATGTCAAAACGAAGCATCTCCTAAATAATTTTAATACTATTGGTTAAACCCAAGGGAAGGGGAGACAAAAAGGCTTATTTGACTCACACATACTCGAGACTAAGACCAATTTTAATAGGTACTATATTTTTTTAGGTTTTATGAGGAACGTCTTCCTAAAGTTTATCGACAGAATCCAGAAGCACCCTTCCGAAAAATCAATTTTGCCATGAAACTATAAGAGTTAGGAAAAAAGTGAATGTACACTTTTTGTCAATAACAAACTGTTCTATCTAAAAACAGCATCATTTTTTATTTTCAGTAGGGCCGTATTAATTTTTTTTATAATTTAATGAGTCTGAGTCCCCATAACTCCGCCACTGGTTGCTTGCGGGACTTCTACTTCTATGGAAAAATGGTATCTTATAAGAAGATGTGTCATGCCAAATTTGGCTTAAATAGCCTTCTCCATTTAGAAGTTATTTAAAAAATTCGAATTTTTAAAAAAATCTTTAACGCTCTATATTTCGAAAATGAAGCGTCTCTTATTTTTTTATGAGAAATATCTCCTTAAAGTTTTGACGACTTAATCCTGAAACACCCTGTATATGCCATCATCATGCGGCTCTAATGAGACTGGTGTACTTTTACGCACTGATGTTTTTGGAGGTATCAAGCATTACAAAAATATCCGTAAAAAAGTTAACATACGATATAGTCTGTAAAATATAATCGCCAACTAATTATTTTTTTAATCGCAAAATGATGGTTTAATTTTTTGTTTTACTTTTTAACGAAATTTAATAAACCTTAAAAAATAAATATAGAGAAATAACGTATAAGAATTAATAATATTATTTTAGGCTTTCTTTTCTTACCTTGGGAAAATTGGAACCAATAAGTTTCATAGCTATCCACAGAGTGCTTATAATGGTCAGTTGATACATATTTATGGGGACAACAACGTTTGCCAATACATGGTCCAATAAATTTACAGCCAAGTAATATTCACTCTCCGAAAAATTCAGGTGCACCTAAAATGAGTTTGTATAACTTTTCGTCATTTGTAAACACCAATACCAACAAATGGTTTAACAGGCCACCTAAGTTAGTTGTAAAATGTTGGATATTTGCCCTCAAAGAAAATAATAAAGATAAGAAATATATCTGTATTCTGATTATGCACTGAAAGAAATGCGCTTTATTCTTTATTAGAATTCTATATGCCATTATAAGACCATTGTATACTATATGTGACAGTTAAACAGGTGAATATTGGATATAAAACGCGTACTGCTAGCACAGCTGTATAGTGACTATAAACCTTATTCTTTATTAAATTATTGTATACAATTACAACGTTTTTATACCCTTTACGAAATAATAGCAATAACTGTTATTAAAGTGTTCCATATCGTTATTAGAACATCTAGTACTGGTTATAAGTTTTATAATAATAAATGTATTAAACTGTTGTATACTCTGTATGAGTTAAAACATATGACATTAAGTTTTCAGAAATTTTATTGGATAACTGTAATTACAAGCTAAGGTTCTAATGTAAATATAAAACATACATTTAAGTATTAAAAATGATGACAAATCGCTCCCAAAACTGTCCAGTTTATTTTCTTAGCAACGATGCACCCGTATTTTCTTGTATTACATGAGAATTTGCACAATAACTCTTCCACCTTAAGAATGAAGTATCGCCTGAAAGGTTGAGCTTCTTTCCATCTAATTCTATTTCCTCTGGTTGATTGACTTTGTACCCATGCTCTTCTTTGTCACCGTTAACCTTCTGTTCCTCCATCTTATAAAAAACTTAACATCAGCGGTTTCTAATAGAGCATACAAAATAATAATTTTTAAGATTTACATTTAAAAAAAGCAAAACAACTACAAACCATAAAACAGTTAGATACTTACATAATTTTCCATTTCACACAACGCACCTTCCAGTTAAACTAATTGAATAATGAGTATAGAGATGATTGCTTTTTTTAAATAAAAGTTGTATATGTGTTATAAAAGTTTTAATATGAGCTATACACATTATTCTAGATAAACAGTTTAATAAGTCCATTTCTTTCAGTGTGAAATCCTGGAAATTTCAATAAAAAAAATTAACATTATAATAATAAATGTGAAGTTAAAAGAATATAACAAATAAATAAAATTCTTTATAGGTGTTCGAACATCAGCATTTAAATAGAAAAACTGAAAAAAATAGTTCAATTTCTTCATGCAAATTTGAAACTTAAATAAAAGCTTCAGAAGGCAAATATGGAAAAAGTTAGCTATTGGAACCGTAGTGTGAACACTCTGAAACAAAACAATCTGTCCTACAAGAATAAAGTAATGCCAGCGAAGGCAATGGAGTAATAAAGCTGTAGATATTGGCATGGCGCAATATTGCTAAGTTTTTACAAGATATGCAATATCAGCAGAATATTTGGCTTATTTTAAATATTGTGAACCATTTCCTGATTAAGAGTAGAAAAGGGTAAATTACCTATATGATACATCAAAATTATGAGAAAACTTTTCTATAAAATATATATCAAAATTTATTTTCAAATTCCATATTACATTCAATTTTCAGTACAATCATTGCTTAGAAAACTGCCTATTTATTTCTCAATATCATATACCGACACGCACAGAAACAATCTGAGTAAAGTAGACTGCTTTTAAATATGTAATAAAAGCTTATGTTAGTAGTAGTATGTTAGTCACAGTCATCACCGGACAAAAATCGTAATGTGTAACCAACCTTATAACTAATACTAGTACCTAAGTATATTACAATGAAACATAATAAGCTAACCTGTTCCTTTAGTAACCAGTTCAATATTGCCGCTCTGTACTGTAGGTTTGGATTATATCTTAGGAAGAAATGTTCATTCAATGTAATTTCCTGTTCCTGCTTCCTAATATATTTTAAATTATCCTAAAACAAAATTTGTATATGATTCATTGTTATAGGAACCTAAAAAATAGTAGGCCTAGATTTATAACCTACTAAAGTATCTACGAAAAATTTTCAGCTTCCAGGTGATAACCAAATTAAGGTCAACTTCCTAATTATACAGGGTTATAAATATGACGGGAATTATTAAAATGTTCTTAAAAATATGTCGAGTAGGTACCAGGGTTTGCAAAAGTCTTTAGTTCTTTACACATTGGACTTTGAGCATAGCATAGGATTATAAAGTATTCTATTCTGTAATTAATAATAATTTCAAGAATAATATAAGTATTCCATTTTTCCAATTACTTTTTCTAAATTTCACATTTTGATCTCTTTTTTATTTTATTTTAGATATAATAATTTCATTAGCTTTGCAACTTTTGAGATTTCTGAGATTTAGATTACAATTTTTTTTTAATAATAATATTTTATAACTTTGTCATAAACGTAGTTAATTATTTTTTTCTTTAGTTTAAAGTTAATAAAGTAATTAATTCTAAAAAATATTCCTAAAATATTATCAAATGAGGTCATGCTCCTTATTAGCAAAAATCTAAATACGCGAAAAAATCTGAGGCCTTCGTAGATACTTAGCAATTAATAAATAACTAAAATTAGAATTATCTACCTTTACTTATATTACTAATATTTTTTCATTAGTAATAATTAACAAAATCAGATTACAGATTGAAAGATAAATTTATGCACATATAATGACAATTAATCTTTAAGCAAATTTGTAGAGTAGGTATTATAGGAAAAATGAAAATTCTGAAGAAAAATGTTGATATGATGGTTTCTCAAAAAGATAACCTAGACTCCTCGAGATATGAATTTTCTAATTATTTTGGAATAAAAGTGAGGAACTTTGGAGCAAAACCGAATAAATTAATTTTTTATGAAAAGCGATATAGGGGCGGATATCGACTCACCTTGGTGAAGTACACATTATAAACTACCTAGTACTGAGCAAAACCAAATAAATCCATATGAGTTTGAGGTTGACGTTTTCGTGCAAAACCAAATAAAGCCGATTTTATTTCAAAACCAAATATATATAAACTCATGTTGAGTAACATATTTGTACATATTGAGAATACTAGATGGCAATGGGGAATACGAAGGAAATAAGAATAATAATTATTATGATAGATCTTGTCGCCATATTGTCTTTTCGTGTTACCGAATTAGTGATTCGTAGTGTAAGCAAACGTACCGTTGTTTGTTGTCTTGTAGCCGTTCGCCATAGATATTTTATTATTTTCAGTTATTTTTCTACTAGAAAGAGTGGGAAAGTGATACAAATTTTGAATGGTACAAAAGCCTTTTATGAAAATCAAGGTCAAGGAGGAAATAACTCATGAAGATATAAGTATTACAACTGCTTGGAAAAGGAATCTGTACTTCATATTTAAGTTTTTTTTATTATTTGGATTAAAAGTATGTAGCTATTTTTTGTTTAATTCCTAACTAGAAACTTATTACTTTTTTTTAAATTTTTCTCAAATGTTTATTTTCAAGTTTTGTCAGAAAAATAAAGATTTTATGTTTACATTACTACTTATAATAATGTTTACATCAATGTTTGTTAATAAAGTTTTTAGCAATACCAAACAAATCCAGTAATTTTGAGCAAAACGAAATAAATCCAGTTTAGCTTTTGTTATATTTTTTAAAAAATATATTTCCATTCTTTAACAATAAATAATACTCAAATAAACATTCATTGTATGTATTAAATTGACAACAATAAACTGGTGACAGATTAGGTGCTTGTTTTGAAGTCCCACTAAAAATTTCACAGCCATCCTCGCAAGAAATTATGCGATATCTGTTGACTGCACGAAAAAAAGTAAATACCTTAAAAACCAAAAGAGACAGGTATAGGGAACAATTATACCATTCGAAGTAGAACAAAATTGTTCATCATGTTGCACAAAAATGTACAGGGTGTTCCATTTAAAAAATAAGTTAAGATGGTTTAAAGTTGACTAAATTCGGCATTAAATTTCTACCACCCTGTATGAAAGTCATTTATGGCAGGGAAGTTTAGAGTTTTAGTTATGTCCCCTATAAATTTTATCGCTCTAACTTTATTATTGTAAAATACACATCTTTTTGAATTAGGCAGTGCATTTTTAATTTAAAAAAAAAATTAAATATATCAAAAACGGTTAACTTTAAGAATAGGAAACCTTTATGAAAGTTTACCAAAACATTGACGTAGAATCCAAAATTATAATAATATACAGGGTGTTCTATTTAAAATAACGAAGATGACGTCAACATGCAGTATAACCGGAAGCGTTAGGTGGACGCCATTATTTTAGTTAAGAAGGGCATGCCCGAAAACACTATTATCCAAATTTTCAAAATTAAAATCCAAGTACCTAGTCTCTGAAATATGTCTGTATTATCACTTTCATAGGCATTTGAATTCACTTGACTGATTAGGCTACAAACATATTCTATCGTGGCCAACGAAAATTGGAATGGCATATCATCATCAAATTTACTGCAATTGTAGCACTTTGTATTATTTTGGCAATTGTCTTATAGGGCTAAATACTGGAGCAAAATATCCATTTACCGCATTAGGTTTCTGAAGATCAGCAGAAGCATATATGTATACAGTATGACTACGTTTTATTTTAAGTTCTTTACTGAATTTCAAAAATCTATAGATGATGAGTTTTTTTTCATGAAAATTTAAATATGCAATTTTCTTACGTCTAACTACATTCAGTAACACGAAGACAATATATTGCAAAAGTGAACGTGTGGTGCGCGATATCTGTCCATGGCATTATAGGCTCATATTTTTACAACACCTGCAATAAAATATTGTACATAGAAATGCTTGATACATTTTTTGGTCATTAAATTTTCGCCAAAAACGGTATTTTCAATAGGATGGTTGTTCAGCACATTGTGTTCGTGAGGTAACAGAATGGCTTAACCATAGGTTTAGTCCAAGATGGATTGGTAGAAATGGTCCAATTTTGTGGACCCCAAGGAGCCCTGACTTAACCATGGCCGGATTGTTTCTATGGGGCCGTTTAAAACAAATTGTTTATGCTATTCCAATACCAAATAATATTGAAATGCTAAAAGGCAGAATTACCCAGGCTGTCCGTTCAATATCCCAGGAAGAAATCAGAAATTTCTTTAGATATTCCTTCAGAAGCAATTAGAAAAATGCGTTCAATATGGGGGTGGTGTTTTTGAAATTTGATATCTTCATCATATTGCTTTGTTTACTTTTTTTAGCTTAATTGTTGTAGTTATGTTCGTATTATTTAAAAATTACACTTGAATAAGACGTATTTTAGATTTGTACTTTGTTCTCCGTATAAAAAATTAAATTTTTGATAACGCGACTCTTATTCATTTTTCAAGCAAAAGTTTTTATCAAGAATGCCTTTTTTCGTATCTTGCAAAATAAGGTAACATACCTATTATCCACACTGAAGTTCATGCCGTTTTTTGGCATCTTTTTGGTTCATTTGTTATCTTGTAATCCGCGGACATAATCTTTCTCATTTATGTAAATCTATTCCAAAAGATGACATCTATATCCAATTAATAGCATGCCGAATTTGATTTAAATCGGACATAGCGTTTTAAAGTTATTTGGAAAAAATTAAAAATGTTGCCAACTTTGATACCCTTTAGAGTGAAACGAAACAATTTTAGGCAGAAGTAAGACAAGTTAAATGATTTGACGTTAATCATGGACATAGAATTTTGGTATAGCATGTACATGAATCGCATCGTTAAGTTGGTGGCATATATTAGGTACCTCCACAAATTTCTTGAAAAGCGATAGATCAAATTTTTAAGAACAATAGCACAAACTAGCACATAATAAAATGAATACTTCTATACTGGGTGTCCCGAATTTAATGTATTAAAATTTGGTCACAGATTCTTAAGATTAATTTAGGAAACCTGTATTTTTAATTTTTGCCAAGTGGCTCCCTTTTCGGAGTTACAGCCTCCTGAAATACCCCCTTAAGAATAGTCTTTTTTTTTGTACCTATCATTCGATTGTTTTCGCGTGTAACTTATACAGACAGGATCTGTAATCGTAAGAAGACCCAATGCAGAAAGACGCCTTTTGTTAACACTCTATTAAGAAAGAAATATCTTAAATTTAACTGAAGAAAACTCGTTGGCAATATCGATTCTCGATTAACAGTTGGGTTAGAATCATCTGGAGATGGCATATTAAATCACATTTCTTGCTCCCTGGTCTAAACACAGAAAACCTACATTTCATGGAAAATAATTGTGAATTAAAAAATAAACATAAAAAGTTTCAAATTGTTTTTGTGGAAGTTTTATTAAAAATTCGGTTCTTAATAAATTTAATTAGAATTTCGTACAAATCACGATATGCATTCGATCAGATTTTGCAATTTTTCTCGAAAACATTGTGTTTTACGAAAAAAATATTAAAAAACAAAAAAGTTTCTAAATTCAATGGCTTTCTATACTCTATTTTTAAACTAAGACGAGCGTTTTGAATATTGCGCGCCAAAATGTTGGTTTCTTATTGGTTAAATTCGAGCCCACTTTACACTGCTAATAAATTTTACATTTTGACATTTGTTGTCATTTTGCCTCTTAGTTATCATCAGTTCGTGGTCATTGTGTTTTTACCTGCTTTTCTTTCTATTTATTATCCCAGTTACGTATAAATCAGTTCTTATAAGAACTAAACAACTTATTATATTGTTTATCATCCGTTTTTTCCAATTTTCCACTGGATATGGATGATGCTGTGCCGACCACGAGTAAGGCAGGCGCGGGAATTACATCGTCGTCGCCCCCAAGGAAATGAAAACAACTCAGTTTGGGGCATTTATCTCTAGCAGAAAAACAAGCAATTTTGAATTTGTACAAGAAAAGCCGAGATGATGAACCTACTCTTAAAACTGTCCAACTTGTATCCAAAATAGCGATGACATTAGGTA